GCTTAGAAATGGCAGCTACCAACACTTATTAAAATATTGAAAAAATGCAACAGTATTGTGTGAGAGTGTGTGTTTTGTGTGTGTGCAGGAGATTTTGCAAGTTTGTTTGTATCCTTCCTCTTTACAGTGACACATTTAGACTGATATGGCATACTGAAATTGCTGAAGTGTAGCAGAAAAATAACCTACATTTATTTTCCTTGTCAATCAGTATGAACAAAGCAAATAAACTATGTGAACAAGAAAACCCTCTTTCTTATCTCTGTTCGTTTAATAGTAGGGCAGTGATCTAGAGCCCATTCTGGAAAAGTGGTATATTATTACCAGTAATTTTATTTATTTTACCAATAACATCCAATCACTCATTTGTTTGAATATTGTGGTACAGAATAGTGACTAATCACTTAGGAAAATGGATGAAGTAAGTTGACAATATCCTGAAATACTGTCTATTTTTCCTTACAGATTATTATTTAAAAGATTCATTCCATAATAAGCATTAATGTGGATATGCTTTACATGAATAAAAAGTGCATATGTACCTACTTTGAAATCACATGTACCTACTTTGAAAGACCGCGTTACCGTAGCACTTCATATGGGAAATCTTCCTTATCATACCCAAGATGACAAAAAGTCTAAAGTGTATAAAATATTAGATGCAATGCAGATTGAGAATCATGGCTAACTGTAATTTTCATTTTTCTGTTTATTGTTAATGCTTCTTTTCTCACTTATAGCATAGGCTCAAACAAATAAAGTTTGCAGATTTTAAATACTCCTGTGACCTCCGAAAAGTTACCTGGAATAGAATGAAATAAGATACATTTATTTCATGTAAGATTACAGAGCTGCAGTTCCTGCAAGCTGATATAGGAACTGGTTTCTGCAGGAGTTAATCAGGTATCTATGGTTGCCATCCCCTTCCTCTTCCCTTTGGCTGGAAATGCTTCTCACTGGTCTCTGCACTCTTGTTGTAGGAGCTAAACTGGTAGAGAACTAACCCTAAAAGAAGGGAAATTTTTCTTCCAGTGCAAATCCCTGGCTTACCATCTTCACTATCAAATGACAGTGTTCATGCAAGCAGGGGATGAAAGAATGCTGGACAAGACACAAGGGATCTTTTTCTTCCAGTAGCTCTTAGTCATTAGATGGATTTAACTGTATCACCCAGCTGTGCTGCTGTCTTTGCAGAGAGCATACAATAGGGCCTTTTTGATTTTTCCCTGCTATTTATATGTGCCTACTGCAATGATGGGGATCCTGAAGATAGAAACATAATAAAGCTGTGACTTTATTTTTTTAGTTCTTGGCAACATGATTTCTTTTTCTTTGTTAATGGCCAATGTATGTGTTGATGCATGATCTGTGCAACTTGCAGCAAAGAAAAGATGCAAATGACTGAGCAGATGGGTGACAGAAATGAACATCAATGTTTAAGTGTTGAGATTAGGAAAGGTGATCATGGTGAATGCTGCTATTCAGAAGATTTTCTTGATTTAATGCAAGGTTCGCATTCCTACACTAAATACCTTATATTTATATTTTTGAGTTGAATTACAAAATAGCAATGTAGAGAGATTCCCTGGGGTAATCTTCCCACAGAAGTAGAGGAGTAAGGGTCATAACTTAGAGTGAGATGCACTTTGCCAATGTAACTGAAATTTTATTCACCTGAAGGAAAGAAATATAAAGGTTCCTTCCTACCATGAAGGAAAAAGAAAAGTTTTATCTAAAACGAAGACTAGTAATTGTTTAGTTATATTTTTTCCAGGATCACTGAAGTTTCTAGTTCTGATTTATGAGATAGGTATTGATGATTTCTCTACAAGAAAAAAGTCTGTAAAAGTGGCAGGTTAATTACAGCATATGCCATTAATGGGTCAGATAGGGTTATTCCTGTTTTCCAAGCTCCAATCTCATGATATATACTGTTAGATCTTCTGGAACATAATTTATATGTATATTATGTTATGTACAATCATTAGGAAAACTTTGCAACCTGTACACATAAAGACCTCAGAGTCTCTTTCTTCAGTCCCTCTCCACACTGCTTGCATTAGCAGCAAGTGAAATACTTTTGCAGTGGTTTTGAATAACTAATTTCTGGGGGATTACAGAAATGACATTCGGTTCTTCAAACAATTTCTGCAAAGCAAGCAGCCTACTTTGAAATCTGTGCTAGGATGAAAAGAAACAAAACCAAAATGTGAATCACCCAAAGTATTATCCTCCTTTTGTGGAATGATCCAGTGGCTTAATGAGGTTAATTTGTTTTAGATTGTGGGGAATTCTTTATCTACTGCATAGAAGGTTTAATTTCACATGGATGTGACAGAACCTGTACTTGCTGCACTGGAACTAAATTATTTGATAGCATAAGGACCTGAAATCCCTACTTTTCCTCTCAAGGAATTTTCATGGCATTTTCTAGATGGCAAATAGAAACTAGAGGATGGTTAGCTAAGATTTCTCAATGTTTGAAATATCTTTGTATATTTTTCTAAGATGCTATGCTTTATACCCAGAAAATTTCAAAGCATCTTTATTAAAGATCCCCCAAATACTATTGAAAGTATGTGGTTATTTTTTGTTCTCTTCCATTTTTCATATGTATTTTGACCCTTTGAAATGCTTTTCTTTATTGTACATGAATATGAATGCTTCATTTCATTGCAATCCTTTTCCAGAAGTCTTACAATGCTTATTACTACAAAGGAGGCATTCAAAATTTTTGTCTCTGTGTGAAAATTTCCCTCACAGAATTTTACAATATCTCTTTTAACTGGTTTCCATTCCTGATAGCTAATTTTGTACATGGTACTTTGTTTTCCCTTAGTGGCTGTATTATGGCGTTTGTGTAGACACTCTAAAGCAGTATAAAGTTATATGATAAGAGAGTGAGGACACAAAATTTCAGGATGACTGATATACTGAATACAAATGAAAACTAATTTAGTGAAAAAAGTAAGGGGTTTTAAGTTCTTATCCTACCACTAAATTTACTTTCTTTTGTAGATTCAGTGTCTAGGGTTTTTTATGTACCTTTCATAAAATGAAATTTAGTGAATTTTTGTTAGGATAAGTGGATTTAAGATATGTAATTGCTATCAAAATTAAAGCTAATGTGAATCTGCAAAAGTGGGATATGTTTGTTCTACTATATATTATACATGCCCAATATATCCTAGGATAATTTTTTTTTCTTATTCACAAATAAAGAACTTCACAAGCATTTTATTAAGAAAAACATGAATGTATTTATTTAAATTGCTTTATTGTCATATATACCAGTGGAATTGTTTGGAAAAGAATTAAAAGTAATTTTTAGGGCAGCCGGTGCTAGTAGCTGTAAAAATATTTGCTCAATGTCATTAAAGGTATAAAACAACAGAGATTGCAAAGTTCAGACAGATAGTAGGAATTACTTTCCTTATCTTCTATTGAATTAAAAATTACAGTTGTAAAGTGAAGAAAATCAGTTTTTGTGTGTAAAGAGATTTTTTTCCTCCTAGATTTTTGATTTAAATGTAACATTTCAGCATATAAAAATATGAAGGATCATAGGTCAATTGCTTGCATTGTGTTATATAATTTCAGCTGTAGCACAGCGTGATGTGGTTGAGTATAATCAAACCTGACATTGTACAATACATTGAGTGATGACAAAGACCACAGACTGTTCACTGGAATTTGTTATACTGAAAAATGCATAATTCCCCAATGAAATGTTTAGCAGTTTATGTTTTGTTGATGAAGACCCAGAGTGTAATTGCTATCTGTGGGTTTTGCCTCTAGGAAATTCACGGGTCCGTAGCCTACATGGAGTTTTGTTCCTTCCTCAGGCCTTTTAGGAGCTGACACTGTGAAATAACAACAGGGTGAATCTAGACATCAGTGTTGGTCTCCTGTTCTTAGGGCTTTTTCCTTGTAGAAGCTCTTGTTTATTGTTTGACATTAGTGATATTAAAGTTTGCTGAAGTATTCAGTACACAAGCTTTGCATAAAGCACACAAAAAATTAAATAGCTGCAGAACTAAGGGACGCATATTGCTTCACATAATTAGTATTCCTGCCCATACACGGTTGAAGGTCAATATCAGCTAAAGTTCAGATTTTTTTCTCTCTTTCTTCTGATGGTAATGAGCTATCCTCAGGAATATCTGGCCTTGTATAAGCAACTGCTGAAAGTTCAGTTAAAACATTTTCCAAACTCCAGATCCTTTGGTAACTGGTGGCTGAACCAGAAAGGGTTTTTTGGAAGCTCTCCTCTTACCAGATTGGTCCTCTTATTGGACTCAGTTTGAGCAGCATGAATGGAAGTGATAGGTACTGATATGGAACAATGAGGATTTTCCTGTTGCCTCCTTTGTTTGAAAGATTTGGGTCCCCATGTTCCCAAACTAACTTTGCAGTGCCAGGCAGAAAAATTTAAAGTGTGATTCCTTAGTAGATTTTATTTCTGGGTTTTGTTTGAGTGTTTTCCCTGTATCCTGTTCTCTGTCTGCCTGTAGGTAGGTTTTGGAGTACCATGTCAAAGTCTCTTCTGGGCATAAAGTCTGGAGACATGGATTGAGAAAACATATGCATGTATGAGTATTTTAGCATTGATATACTTTCATTTTAAAGTTTCTGCCATAGGGAAAAAGAAAAAATAATATTGGTAGATGTACACAGCTGTTTATGGGACTCCAGAAATTAATGTAGTTTCTAGATTAGTTTTATGTTTCTGCTTCCTGCTTCATTGGTACAGGCCCATATGGAGCCTCGTCCAACTGTTCTTCTTTAGCCAGTGTTTTCTGCCTGAAATAGTTATAGTATTTTTGGAAAAGAGATCAACTATCCATTCCAGTGGTAATTACATCACAACTCTCATTTCATGTGTGGCAGATTGCCTTACAGGGCCAAGTTTAATGCATTTCTAATTAAAAAAATCCAAATGAAACAATATGATGTTACTTCTCGAAGATATCAAATTGTTCATCTTCTTATTTTCACAGCTCACCATGTTAAAACTGGGACCTGTGAAGTGGTGGCGCTTCACAGATGCTGCAATAAGAATAAGATAGAAGAAAGATCACAGACAGTGAAGTGTTCCTGCTTCCCTGGGCAGGTAGCAGGTACCACCCGGGCAGCTCCTTCTTGTGTTGATGGTGCGACTCCTTCTATTGCTTCCTTTCTTTGTGCTCCTGGGAGTTTTGCTGGCTTAAGGTCATTCATGAGACCCACTCCATTACAGTTAACTATTTAAAATAAGTAGGAAAGCTTCTGCATTTTGAAGGGAGTGTCCAAGGTGAATGGGAGAAAGATGGAAAAATTAATTATTTGCTATTGCTCTGTGGAAATGCTAAACAAAATTATTATGCCAGAGAAAGAGGCCTCTTGAGAGGCTAAATTTGATCTAACTAAAAAGAGGACTTTTGGAATTGTATGAAATTCACTTAATTAAAAGCATTTAGGCAAAACCTGCATAAGCATATAATTTTCATGTACTACAGTATTACATCTTTATATATTTATCTCACTGGAAAGAAACAAGGAAACAAACAAAGCACAGTTCTGTCTGGTTTTTAATCTTTTTAGACCAACACCGTTATTCCTATTCACAGTGCAATATTAGTGTCTTAGTAATTCTGGTATAGGCTCATATGTTTTATTTAGGAAAATACTAGATGATTTTTCACATCTCTTTCTCTGAAAGAGTGGCAGGATTCACCCTTTACATGATCTCTTTAATGTTGATATGTTGTTGGCTGTCAGAGAAGCTGTAAATATGTCGTCATTGGGGAATAAATTTAATCAAGCTATGCTGGGCTATATTCTAGACCAAGCAAAAGATGAGATTCTACTTAAAACTTTGAAATCTGGCTGAGCAAGATAAAAATGAAGTTGGGAAGAAATGCTGTGAATAGATTGACTTTGAAGCACGTAGCACCTTTTGCAAATTGGAAACCTAATTTCTTCTGAAGGTTCTGAGGTGGCTGAAAATCACAGACTGGCTGTCAGTCAGCCTGTTTCTCATATTTTCCTGGAAAATAAAAGAAATGTTGCAGTGTAATGACATCTTAAAGTGTCCATTTCCACAAAATAAAAATACATTTGGTTTTTTTTGTAGCTTCGATAGTGGAGCAGAAATGGTGGTGCCACATGCAACCATGTCTTGAAGGGGAGGAATGTAAAGTTCTTCCAGATCGTAAGGGATGGAGCTGTTCCTCTGGGAATAAAGTGAAAACAACTAGGGTAGGTATGATACCAACCTGACATGTTACCAACAAGTAAAAAAAAGAAAGGTGCACAGGAAATTGGGTGCACAAAGAAGACCTAAGTTGAGAAGACTAAAGAAGCATGGGAAGAGAGTTATACTGGGATTGGACTTCCTGGTCCCTCACTTTTCTCAGCATACTTATCAATTGTTTGAACATAGTAAGCTGTGTGCCAGACCTTCTCAGGTAAGCACTGGAGATAGTAGAGTTGATCCCTTCAACTAACAGTAATGATGAAATGCATTATAATGTAATATGTATTTCTCTCTGAAATCAGTTGCACTGTGTCTGTACACTTTTCTAACCTCTTCATTCAAAGGATATCAAACCAGCATTTTTTTCAGTTGCATGGAATTACCAGATTTCTACATAGAAACCACTGAGCATGGTAAGCATTTGAGGTGTCGTTACAGGATGATCTGGTTCTTTCCATCTTGTATAACTGTGATTTGCTAAAAAATTTTGACAGAGTTTCAGGGAGTTCCTTTCCTCCACTTGACACTTTTTCATATTATTGGTTAAAATTTATATTAACAGAAATGTATTTAAAGGTCATATACAATGTCTGACAAAAAAGTAAACATGCTGTCAACTTTGCATTTTAGTGGGTAATAAAAACAGAAGAAAAACAAATTTTTCAGATAAGCATTAAATGAACAAACTTCCTAAAATTAGGGTATTGTATCTTGTCAGGAACAACACAATTCTTCATCAACATACAAAAATGAAAATGTACTCTGAAGACACATATGCATGTGTTTAAGTATAAACACCTTCCTCCCTGCACCCCAGGACATATACTCATGACTGATTTTCCTTTTGTGTATTTAATAGTTTGTAGTGTCAGGCCATAATATGCTAGATTGGTGTTTACGCTAAACAGGTGTTTGAGTATCTATGTAATTTTACTGAAATATTCCTTACATAGGCTCTAAATTTCTGGTACACATTGGTTGTGGTGAAATACAGCAGGTACTGACTGAATTATATTTCTTCAGTTCCACAGCGAACTCTATATGTCTCAGTTTCTGTATTTATAAGTCTCCAAAACATTTTGACATTCTTTGAAGGAAGGATGCTTCCTAAATGTTTGCTTTAAAGTTCCCTTCCTGAATACACTTTAGATGTTTTTCTTCTGAAAACAACCTTGCTGAAATGCTGCCCACACTTAACTGTATAAATGCCAATGCAAATCTGATTATATGCATGTAAAATATATTTGCATATAGAATATAATAAAAAAGGAACCAGATTGATGTTAAAGAAATATAAATATAACATAAATATATATAAATATATAAAAATATAAAAATGTAAATATATAAATATAAAAATATATAAATACATAAATGCATAAATACATAAATACATAAGCATAAGCATAAATAGAAATAGAAATAAATAGAAATAGAAATAGAAATAGAAATAGAAATAGAAATAGAAATAGAAATAGAAATAGAAATAGAAATAGAAATGTGTGTGTTTTGAAATTTTTCCTGGTTGCTACTACATGACAGTATTAGTGTTACAGAATACTTGCCATTTTATATGTATTGAGAGCGTTTAATGAATCGTAAGTGAAAATGTGGACCTGAATTTTATTTCTGCTGGAAAAAAAGAGGTCACAAAAAGGGGAAAATCAATTATGATTTCTTTGATGAGAATTCTTCTTCAAAGTTTGTCAGATTATAGGTTTCTCTGCATTGGTTGAGGTGATGAAGTTTTTCTGCTGTTAGGGATCGAAAGAAGCCCAAGGCTCCTGTCCCCAGGAGTTTATGCCTTTGTTGTTGTTAGACTTTTAGGTTTGTGTCTTTGCAGCAGCTAGAATTTTCTTGTTCTCCATGGTGGGGGCAATTCTCAGGACTCATTTCACACCTCTTCCATAATGCTGCTTTGGAAAAGCCAGTCCTTTTCCATATGTGCTATCATAAACACTGATTCAGTACGATGGCCACCATAGCCTGCTTACTTACCTAGCACCACTGAAAGGGAAATACTAGTCACCTTAAATCCCCCCTGTTTGTTCTGCCTTCCAGTTTGTCCAGATTCTCTATGTTCTCCTCCTTTTCCTGTCATTTCCCACAGAGCTGCAAGGCTATTCTGAAACAATAGCAAACTTTAATTCAAATTCTGACTGCAAGTTGACCTAAGTCATTGAAACCAGGTCAGTGACAGGTGAATGGAGGTCTCTCTTTCAGAATCAGTGATCTGTGATTTTAAGAGACATCATTCCGATGGCCAGTAAAATACATACTGCTATTGGAAATATGTGTGGTGCTTTGTGTTAACAGAGTAGCTTATTATCAAAGGGCAAGTACTTTTCCCTTACATGTAGTCACTACCATATTTTTGTAGCTCCTCTTTCTGCTCCCCAGGGTCTATATAAATAAAAGGAAAAAATTCTAAATTGCTCTTTTTTTTCAAAATTCTCCCCCTTTTCTTTTGAGAAAAATAAAAAATAACTGTACAGAGAGCCAATATTAAGAAGTTATGAATAATAAGTTTCTGATTGTCAAATGAAATAACCTATATGTGATTATCATGTGTAATGTAAAAGCGTAAAGAAATAAAGGGAACTAAATAGCTTGGGTGATTTAAGTAAATTACAGAAAAATCTTCTCAAGCCTTTCCTGAAAGGCCAAAAAAAAAAGTTTATCTTCACCTCCAAACATTTTCTGTAAGTTTGCCTTCTTCATGTGCCAAAATCGTGACCCAATTACCTGCTGAAGTACTGTCTTTTACAGGATACCAAATTGAAAAGTAGCACCTACATTTCCACATCACGAGTTATTTATAGCTAACCTCTATGTTAGAAATAAAAACAGTGGAGGAAGGAGGTATTTTGAATGTCCACCTCTGCTTATATAATCTCATTATTGTAAAAAATTATGATACTGACTTCCTAATAGTTATGGTATTAGTCACTAAGCAAAAAAGGCCAGATAAAAAATGGCAGAAAATGAATTGATTTTTAAAAATGTGGTCTACTTGAGGTTTTGCATTTTGTTCAGTTATATAGATCTAATAAGGTCATACAAGAATAATGAATTAAAAGTACTCAGAATTCAAATGTTAAGAAATCAAATTTGGAAATTATTTACCTTTAGAATAAAAACTTGGGTATTATTTTCCTAAACTGTTTACATATTAGAGGGAAAAGGTTGATATGAAAAATTAACCATAGAAAAGAACTGAATATGGGGGAAAATGTGTATGAATAAGATGAGTACTGACTATTTTGGGTTTATGTAGCCTGCAGGAGAGGAAGGGAGAAAAAGACACTGACAACTTAGGTAAATCAGTAAATTTTTTGACATCATATAAAGAAATATGGGCTTGTGTTCCCAGTCATAATACCACAACAAAAGAGGATTTTCAAGAATACATTAGGAGAATTATGAGAGGATTATGAGCATAGCTGCAATTTTACCAGGGATGCTTGGGCATTCTCCTCCAGGCTAAGAAACTGTTGTGAAAGGAAACTATTGCATTTTTCCCCCACATGGCAAGTCTTAATTTTTGATACATAAACATAAAAAATTTTGTCACATTGCCCTCTCTAAATGATGAGAAAAGAGTTTCAAAAATGTGAAAAATCCTTTTTTTTTTTTTACATTTGCAGTACTCTTTCTTCTACAGCCTCTTTCTAATAGAATTATTCTAGTTACAGAAGTTCTCCTTCTTGTTTCTTTCTTTTTTTGTGTGTTTCCTTTCTCTTCTTGCAATACAGGAAAGGGTCTGTATTAAAAAAAGTAATTTTCCCATCAGCTGAAAAATATACTGTTATTACATATAAAACTGACCATGACATTTTAAAAATTCTCTGATTTTATATCAAACAGACAAACTCTTTACAAAGAGTGAGAACTAACATTTTGCAGTCGGATAAAACCTGAAGAGAAAGAATTAAATATTTCTCTTTGTTATAGAGTATATTTCACATCAGAGGTCTCTCTCTGGATAGGGCTTTTCCCTGGGCAGATCTAGATGCCAGGCCTTATTTGTACTTTTAAAGAGAGTGCATTGCCTGCTAGCTTTGTGATACAGGCAGGCTTTACATAAAGCGCCCCAGTGGTTGCCAGTTCTCCACCCCAGGACTATCTTGGAACATGTCATGGCTCCTGGGCAGCTCATTAACCTGTGTGCCTTTCCTGCAGAATTTAGAGAAAAAGGACAAGGTAAAGTGGTGTATCCTGGGTCTCATCTTGAGATTCTGGAAGTGGAACATGACTGGAGAAATGTGTACTTGCTCCAGGCAGTGGGAGAGTGTTCCCGGGCTGATATTTTATGAACATATAGAAAAGTATGCAATGGTATTTTTCATGAGAAAAAATATAGAAAAAAAAATAAGCTATTTCAGTTGAAAGGGACATACACTGATCATCTCATCTGGCTATCTGAACAATTCAGGGCTGATCAAATTAAAACATGTAAATCATAACATTATCTAAATGTCTCTGAAACACTACTAGGCTTGGACACCTCTCTAGGAATCCTCTTCCAATGTTTGACAATCGTCTTGGTCAAGAAAAGCTTCCTGGTGTTCAGTCCAAAGCCTCCCTGGTGCAGTGTTGAACCATTGCATAGTAATTAAATGGTACCTTGTCCTCAGTCTTTTAGTTTTATTTGGTAGAACTGCCTGTCGAATGAGGCATAGTTTAACATTAAACTGTGGTTAAATTATGTAGGCTAGAATGTACTCGACTTTACTTGGGTTAGGAGTGAGATAACTAGCCCAAGCTAGAGTGAGATAACTAGCCCAAGCTCTAGACTGTCTTTTTACTCTTAGCTAGAGCTGTTCAGTTCCAGAGGACAGTTGATTTTGTTATAAATTTGATAAACTGTCTTCTGGAGGTGCTTATGTTTCTCAAATAATCTAGAAGAAAACTACCATGAATAACTTAGCTGCTAATGTTTAGAAATTTAATGTTGAATAAGAAGCAGCTAGCTTAGATAATTTAGTCACTTCGATGTGGT